TCAGGAATTTTACTAACACCTCTCTCTCTCGCAAGGCATGAGTGTCAGACATGTACTGCAATTGCATCAGACACTTACTTCAGGCTCTGCAGATGGTGGTTCTGTAGGTCGGGTGGATGGGTCAACATTCTTCTCCTGAATCCTCCTCATGATGGCTGCAGAGGCTGGGGTCCTCGGAACATGTTGTCTTCGCTGGATTTGAGGTCTCACCAGTGCCTTTCCCAGTTCTTCGAGAAAGAGGCGTCTCCTCTGGAGCTTTCTTCGGTTCCACTCTGGGTTCAGTGCCATCCAGATAACAAAGGCGTTGTATGCTGAGATGTCCAGCATGTTGAAGAATATCACTAGTGGCCAGCGTAGGGTCCTCCTTTTGCAGCTGTAGGTAGTCACCAGCTTGTCCATGTTGTCCACCCCTCCTTTTGTGGCATTATAATCCATGATTATCTCTGGTTTTTGATGCTCCTGGCCACAGATTCTCCCATCCCTGTGCAGTGTACTCATGAGGACCACATTCTTGCCTTTCTTTGGCACATAGGAAACCAGGGACGTGTCAGCCGTGTACACAAACTTGGAAGAGTTGACAGGCCTGTTCTTCGTAGACAGCAGTTGGGGTGGGAGCTCAGACTTGTTTTTGCGTATCGTTCCCACCATGGTCAGCTTCCTCTTTAGGAGCTCCTGTCCCAGCTTGTGTGAGGTAAAAAAATTGTCGCAGGTGATGTTGTGTCCACTGAGTCCCTGAGTCATGTCCAGGACAACTCTCATCCCTTGATTTTTCTCAGGGGCTCCTCCCTCAGGTTTCCCTGTGTAGACTTGTAAGTTCCAAGCATATGAGGAAGTGGCATCACAGGCAGCCCAGATCTTTATACCATATTTTGCAGGTTTAGATGGTATATACTGCCTAAAGGGGCAGCGGCCCCTAAATGGCATCAGCTGCTCATCAATGGTGACATTAGGGCCAGGGTTGTAAAACAGGGGGAGGCGGTGCACCCACTTGTCCCACACTGTCCTGATGGCAGCCAGCTTGTCTCTCTGCCGTCGAGCTTCTCTGTCGTCTCGGTTATCAAAGCGTATAGTCCTGGAAATGATGTGGAAGTTTTCCAGAGACATTGCTGCGCGCAAAATTTCTCTGCCATTTTCTGCATCCCAGAGGGATTCTGTGGATTCTCCTTTGGACCTGAAAACTCCAGCAAGGATAAGAACCCCAAAGTAAGCATGTAAATGGGTTTGGTCCATCTCCTTCCACCTCTCTCCAAAAACACGCCTTCCCTCTAAATTGGTGCAATCCAGAATAATTTTCTGGATGGAATCTGGGATCAAAAGCTCAAAAGAAGACTTGATGTCGTTCACATGAGTAACTGCCATCCGTGTTGGCCCTGGTTGCATCTTTATCACATTAGCAGCAATGCGGGGTGGCTCATTTCTTGGGCAAGAAGACCATTCAATTTCACCATCTTTTGACATAAATATTTCTTTCCTTGCCTGCTGCTGAC